ATTTCCTACCCCCTTGTTCCATGCTTGCCTTAAAAATTCCATTCATCAGGCTCTTTGCAGTTAGCTGAGTCACACAGCATAGTTTTTTGCCAAAAAATATAAGCAGAAAGTCTCTAGGTCCACTTCTTCTATTTCCTCTTTCATACCCAAAACACAAATGTGAAGTAGGAGGTAGAGTAGACTCCATCCTGGGATTTAATCATGAAAATGAAGGTCTGTATACTAAATTTAGTGGGAAAAAGGAAGGCCCTTTACTCTCTACTGCTTTGGGGCTGCTATATTATCCCTAGATTGCCCCACTGTGAGATTCTCTGTATTTGAGATAAGTAAAGACATTATGTGTTAAAGTCATTATTACCTGTAGACAACTGCAATCTAAATTAATAAAAAAAGTAAATTAGGGCCATATCATTAGATACTGTGAGCCTGAATCAAGAGTCTGCAATTATCTTCTTCTGTCAGAAAGGTACATGGACTCAATATTGCCTCTGGATTCATTACAAAGTTGAAATTTTGTAAAAACAAATATGAAAAAAGCAATATGACAGCAAAACGTAGGATAAATCATAGAGAAAGAGAATGGGTTTGCAATGACAAGACGGGCCCACACTATTATAATCTAGATGGGAGGCAACAGACAACTTGTTCTAGGATGCAGTAGTGCAGGAATAAATAAAAAATATACAAAGTGAAGAGAGAGGACAATGATGAAGATGGAGAATAAAGCAATTAATTGTCACAGGGGATAAAGGAGAGATTACGAGTAATGCGTATGCCAAGGCTCAGAGGCTGGAGTTCTCATAAATTTGAAGTTAGGAGAAAGAAAGCAATGGATAAGGAATACTTAGTTGAAAGAGATCACTAATATACAAAACATACCACTTTTTAACCAGTCCCTAGGCCAGTAATAAATTAATGATGCTTTTAGAGTCTCCAAGTGATGTGTGTCATATTGAATACTGTGTAATCAACACCACTGAAATAGACTAGATCCACTCAACATGTCTACTAACTAGAGAAAGACAATCCTCTCCCTTGGTAACATCAGCTTCATACAGTTTGCTAAGCTTGTCATGTTAAAAATCATTCTTAAGTAAGAACAGTGCACTCACAAAACCAGTATTAACATTTCCATCTGTTGACTTGAGCTTGGTTATTTAGCAGTTGTGTGCCTATCCTATCTTATTAATGATAGTAGCCATATTCTACTTGCTGTGCTCAAATCTAAAGAGCACCCCTTCTACGTCAGAGGCAGGCCAGGGCATTGTCCTGCACCTCACCCTCAGAAACAGACTCACAGCTACAACTCAGTCTGTGGGCTTCAGCTGCTAGGGTGTGCTACAGAGTCATAGATCTTGGCTCTGTGGGCAATCTACATTCAACTCTGCCTGAGAGTGAATCTGCACCCCAAGACCCAGGTGTCACAATACATGATTAAAAGACCCTGAGTCTAGAATGATGCCTCTATGACAGTTTCATGGACCTGTACTTGTAACCCAGCACCAATGCAGCTGCGTGTATGCCATGTCAGAGCTAACACCAAAAGGAATCCCTTAGGCTAAGTCACTCCAATTTTAGGAAAATAAAAATAGGAGGGTACCCAAATACTTTGACACCAAGGACGTTAACAACCTACACTACTCCTGATACTGCTGCAAACTTCCATAGCCTAGGCCACTGAGGCACCCAAAATTATTGCTGATGTTGACCACAGCTAGAGAAACTACGCAGATACTATCACACGGCATCTATTCAAAAACTGACTTACCCACTCTTCATCACCTGCACACAAACACTCAACTTCAGATGAAAGTCTTCCTCTATGAAATCCACTCTAGAAACTGGAATAGCCATTGTCCCACCACATGCATAGACATCAATGCAGGGACACAACATGAAAAATCAAGAAATATGACACCAGCAAAAAGACATAATAACTTTCAAATAACAGAACTCGATGAAAATAAAATCAACAAATATTCAAAAAAGGAATCCAAAATAATTACCTTGAAGAAACTTAATAGTAGGGGTGGCTGGCAAGATGGCCGAATCGGAAGAGTTTCAATCTGCAGCTCCCA